TCTGGCTTCAAATTCTCACCCAAAACGGAACTGAAACTCAATTGGGATGAGAATGAAGGGATAATTGAAAGCCTTCTGGCTGAACAAGAACAACCATTCCAACGCTTGAGCTTGTTCGATGAAGCTCAATATAAATTCCGGCGGAGATCCTCAAAGTAACGACAATCTGGAAAGCAGCATTTCCTTGGGAGAGAAAGGTAATACAATTCTCTGCTACCATTATCAACTCCATCCTTTGGGAAAGAAGCATCCCTGCAGCCGGCGCCGCTGTCAGCATCCCTTCCGCTCATCAAACTTCAAGCAAGAAGCATCACTGCCTCTTCAGATCACCATTTCTTGAGGCCAGAGCCGTCTTGGGGCCTAATGCAAAAATAAAAAAATAGGCCATCTGAAATTACAATATCAGAGAGTAAATGTAAGATTAAAAATGAAACTGCTAATTTACCTATTGTTACTTGAAAATTTTGTTCTTCAGAGTATTTCTTCAAGCAAATTCATCAATTAAATTTTTGAATCCTCATATAAATGATAGCCATAAATATTACATTTATCACCATTTTTAAACTAATTTTCTAAATTTATACAACAAAACTTTAAACTTAAATCATCACATAAATCCAATTTTTCTTAAGAAAATGAAAAACTAAACGGCTTATTTCCATATTACTCGAATGATTCGAATCTTCTTTCAAGAGATATAATTGCTTGATCAACAATAGAATTTTTTTCTTTTTTATAAATAATTTACTGTGTAGTTTTAGCATATTTACTTTAATATATATATATATATATATCATTACATATATATTAATGGGTCCCACAAATTAGGAATTATAATTTGTTTATAATTTTAATATATCTATTATTAATTTATTATAATATTATATGTATATACACATATTAATATATATATATATATTTATGGGCCCTACAAATTAGAGCCTTGTGCTGCGTGCTAATAGCCAGCTCTGGTTGAAGCGCTGCGATCATCGTCATCATCATCCCTCCGGCAGCATCAACCATCTTCGGTGGTGGTAGTCGACGCCGCCAGCTCCAGGACTTCCTTAATTCAATCAGGGTCCAGGTATTTGTATATATGTAATGTACCATCAGGAAAAGTACGTGGCAGTTATGCCTGCAAAGTTCAAACATTTCTTCAATCCGACTATACTAAGAACACCGCAATAAAAATACTTTGTAAAAGAATCTCTTTGTATACACATCATATTCTTTTTCTTCAAACTCAACAAAAGAAATACATAACTTTTTATATTTATATCAAAATGATTTATTTTTAAAAATAAAAATTTTAAAATGTATATATATAGAGAATAAAATTTAAATATAAATTATAATATAAATAAAATAAAAAGACACTACCTCTTTAGGTATCTTTGTAGAGATGCCAAAAGACATATTTTTATTTTTCTTTTATTTTTTTGTTTATGAACCTCTTACATGGAGGAGAAAGATATATTTTTATTTTTCTTTTATTTTTTGCTTAGGTTAAATTATATAATACTTTCACGTGTTTTAATGAAAATGCATAAAACACCTGTATTTTATTTATTGTGTAAAATCTCCTTGTGTTAATGTAAAGTTTGCACGAAACACCCTCTTGTCCAAAATTGATATTTGGTTATAATAAAATACCTAAATTACGCAAATTTTATACAAATAAAAAACATAAAATATTTTAAATAATTTTTTTTGAATAAAAAATAAATATATAATTGATCAATCATTTATTTTTATAGTTTTCATAAAAATTATATAACAATTTGTTTCCAAAAACTATAAAATGAAAGATTAATTAATTAATTATTTATTTATTTATTTTATTCAAAAAAATTATTTAAGATATTTTGTATATTTTATTTGTATTAAATTTGCTTAATTTAAGTCTTTATTTGAAATCAGTTTTGGACAATGAGAATGTTTCGTGCAAATTTTATATTAACTAAAGAGAGTTTTACTCAATAAATAAAATACAGAATATATTGTATATTTTTAATAAAATACAAAAGGTATCATATAATTTACCATTTTGCTTATGTATCTCTTACGTGGAGGAGAGAGGAGTACATCTGAAGATATCAAAAGATATATTTTTATTTTTCTTTTATCTCTTTGATTTGTCTCCTACATGGAGGAGAGGGGTATTTCCGTAGCGGAGATACCCCCGTTGTGGATGGCCTAAGGCCATCTGCATCAATAGTTTCTCTAATCCGAGATAAATTCTTTCACTCCTTCATGGCATGATATGTGGAATTAATGTATTTAAGAAAGTATAAAATAATTTTTGGAGTTGTTGCAGAGAGCAACTCTAGAAAATTTCACTTTTTATTTTATTTTAAATATATTTATAATAATTTTAATAATTTTTTATTTTTTATATTTTTGTATTAAATAAAATTTTATTTTCTACACAATAATATACATTGATATATTTTTATTTAAATTTATTTTAAAAATAAATAATTATGATATAAATAAAAAAAATATATATTTTTTATTGACATGTAGGAAAAAGATGGTGATGCGGAGGAAGAGAGAAACTTTTGGTAGAGGCTCTTTGATGTGGATGATGGAAGGTGTACTAATGTTTTTTATTTTCTAGATTTTGTTCTTTGTTGCTGTAGAGTTTATTTTATGTACGAGGAGCGGTAATCAAGCCCTTCAATTTTTTAATTGTGTTATATTATTGAGATTTATAGTTTTACATGTTTTTGGGGAATTACTCTCTCCGTCCCAGAAAATATGCTACTATTACTGTATATACGGGAATTTAGGTAAAGTATAATAAGTAATTAATTAAGAAGTGCATTAGTAAAAATAATTATTATTTAGTAAAAATAATTATAGATTAAGATTAAGATGAATAAATAGTTTAATTAAAATTTAAAAAATTATAAAATCTAAAATTTAAAATGCGATTAAAGTGCATAATTACATTTCCAAAAAATAGAGAGAACAAGTTACATGGGACGGACGAAAATAGAAAATAGGGACAAATTATGTGGGACGGAGAGAGTATTAAAATGTGATAGGATAATATTTGTATTATGTTTTTATTGGGAATTTTAGTTGGAAGTTTAATCCAACGTTATCATCTATAAATATAATTAGTTGATCCAATTTTTAACTCGGTCTACCAGATCGGCCAAACCCCAAACCCTTAAACCCATACCCTTTATTCCAAACCCAATTAGACTAACCCAAATGTGAGTTTGTTATGTAAGTTTTTTTTTGGGTAGTTTTAAATATGCATATAGAAATTAGTTAGGAGGGATTTGGGAGGGTGAGCAGTTTTCATCGTAAGAGTAGAGAAATAGACCGAGATAGAGGGTGAGGGTGCAGAAATAAACTTGTTTTTGTATAATTAAAGAGTACCTTAATTTTGGCCGTAATTTACTTCTTTTTTGTTTAGAAAATAAATGATATGATAAACTTTGCTTTATATATATTTTTCATATTGAAACTTGGTAGACGAGTCAATAATTTAGAAAGGTACTAAGTTTTTTTTTTTTTTTTTTTTTTTGATCCAATTCAGAAGTAGAGCTACATTTAAAAAATTTTGAAACCATTATATTCTATTACTCAATATAAAAAAAAACATATATTCTAAATAAATTATAATTCGAGAGCTGCAACATCTTGAGTAGGTAATTCATTTTTTTTACTAAAACATTGACGATAAAGTTTTATTTCGGTTGGTGTGCATCCTAATTCGTCACTCTGCAAAATAAACACTACAAAAAAAATATATCAATTTTGTAACAAGAATTTTTCGTTCTTAAATCCACTTTTTCCGTTACTAATGATATTAGAGATGGAATTAGGGATGAAATTACATTAGCTACGTGAACTTTAGGAACGGAATTCCGTTACAAATATACTATTTTTTTTGTAATTAAAAATGATTATATATATATATATAATACAACAATTTATATTTACAAACTATAATAATTTGAATATACTACCATAATCTTTCGAACACGACCAACAGATCGAGCGCCCCCACGGTATTGATTTGCAACTGCTGTCGAAATTTTTTTTCTATTTTCTTTATTTCGTTCAACCATATTCTGAAATTCTTTAGAACCCCATTGCTCCTCCATTTTATCCTATTTTTCAAGAGAAATCCATTTCGGACGTACATTATTTTTTCGAGCATAGCCTAAATTTCTCCTTAATAACTCGCTAACTTAATTTAAAACTAAATTACAAATCTCAAATTCATACTGAGGTTCCCACCTATAAAAATGTTGTTGAAATTTAATAGTTAAAATCAATTGAATAATAATATAGTTAATAAAACAAACTTAATACTAATATACTTTAAATATTTGAAACCATTTGTCTCTTTGGCTATCAGGTACTTTTTCATAAAAATCAATGGTTTAGAAAAATTTGATGGAAATATATTTCTTATTTGTCCAATCAAACCTGGAATTGAACTATAAAAAAAATAAAAATTGCATTTTATTAGAATCCACATTTTAAATGTATAATAAAAAAAATTAAATAATATCATTAAAGATTCAACATAATTTAAAATTTCATTCAAAAGTACTCTTGTAATCCATGTTTTATCATCAGTAATTCCTTCATCACCATTTTGATTTTCTTCACGATTATTACTAGTCATTCCACCTCCGACTGATGATATGAAATATGGGTGGTTGATTGTCCATCGAAAAAATTTATATTTTCTACCGTACAAAAATAAAAATAATTATACTAAAACATAAAATAAATAAATAAATTTATAACATAAAATATAGTATATTTAAATCCAACACAAGTGCTTAATCAAACTTATTATAACATAGTTTCTCAATTTTATAATTCAAATCCAAGTATCAAAGAAGCATATTCTTAAAATTTAAAATTTCTAAAAAAAAAAAACAATGAAGCAAATAATATTTTTTAATATAAACCTCTAGAAAAAATAATAAAACAAATAATATTTCTAAAAAAGAAATGCTGGGAATATGGTCGGAATCGAGTCCGGACATGAGGTCCCAAGAATTGATGGTCTCGAAGCATGGCTGGTGCTGGAGCGACCGGGGCTCGGAAAGTGGGCTGGGGAAGAGGGAGCCGAGAGTGGTCCGCGGTGGCGGGAGGACTGTCTTCGCCGGTGCTTCAGTTTCCTGCGCGTCGAGGGTCAACAGGCCGTAAGTGGTGGAGGTGAGGGACACAATGTGGTGGCTGAAAGCGGCGGAGGCGCCGATTTGGGAGAAGTCGTCATCCTGGTTAAGCAGAGCGGAGGAAACGCAGCCCATCGGCGATTGGACTGAGAAATGGGGAATAAGATCGGTGCGGAGAAGATATGGAGCGGTTCGAACCGAACCGGGATTGAACCGAACCGGAGAAATGGGGAATGAGATCGGTGTGGAGAAGATATGGAGCGGTTCGAACCGAACCGAGATTGAACCGAACCGGTTCGGTGGAGAACCGGGTCTAATGAGAACCGGTTCGGTCTAATGCACAGTCACGTGGGTGGCACGTGCCTACTCCGTTAACGGCGTTCTTCAATTACCCATAATATTATTCTAATTACCGTTTAGACTAGATTTTGCGCAGATTAGCAAAAAAGAGGAACATTTTTTACGAAATTAATGTTATATGCTAACTAAAATGAAAATTAAAGATATTGTTAGACCGCTACAAATTGAAATTATAAATAAACTATTGTCGCGGCAAACCGCAATAATATCTAAGACATTTTATTAAAATTATTGTCGCGAACAATCAGAACAATGCATTGTAAAGTAAAAAATATTTTTTTATTATTTAAAATTATTGTCCCGGAATATTGCAACAAAATTGGAAAAAATAAATTTATTCATTGTTTGTCGCGGACAACCGCAAAAATGCATTGTAAAAAGTAAAAAAATAATTTTTTATTTAAAACTATTTTCGCCGAAAGTTGTAACAAATTTGAAAACAATAAATTTATTTTTTTGTTTGTTGGGACCTTCCGCTACAGATTGGACAAATTAATCATTGTAACAAAGATTGTTGCGGAAGTCCGCCACAATTAATTTATATATAATTTTTTATTAAAGATTTGATAGAAATTGTGACAATATATGCGACAAATAGTTTGCGCTGGAGGAGTTCGCCCCTGCTGTCCGAGGAACAGCTGCTGCCACGCGGTCGTCGGAGAAGAGAGTCTGTAACTAGTGCCTGCAGACGGAAATCCGGCCGCTGCTGGTCGAATCGGCAGTCGTCGATGTCGTCGATCGATTGTGCAATCCAAAATCAGATTGCTCAATTTGTTTCCAAATTAAGTTGGGAATTGCATATTCGTTTCATCATCCACCATCAGGGAAGTTAGTTTAATATTTTGTTTGTTTGGGTTTTGATTTTTCAGAAACATTTTAGCTTGGTTTTTAGTGTTAATTTCAATTCAATTCAATTCAGTATTTGGATTTATTCGGTGTTTACGAGGTTTATTTCGTAAAGTCTATCGATCTTGGTGTAAATTCGTTATATTCGACACAAAATTGATTTTATGTACTATTAGATCCAATTTTATAGATAAAAATATGAATGTACACTTTATACAATGTCTTTGGGCATCTGCTTGGGGCTCCAATTCCTATCCAACCCAACCCCAAATCTCTCCCATTTTGCAGTTCGGTACATGTAATATTGTAGCTTCACTTTATTTTTGGAGTAGAGTGTTTTGTTATTTTTGGAATATATTAGACATAACGAGTGTCTTTATATTAGACTAAATTAATACTCTTACATATTTTTACATTTTTGGTTAATATAATTTTTCATTAATTCTTGGATCTCATTGTATTATATTTTAGATGGTATCAATGGATTGATTCAGTAAGGCAAAATTATTTTTCTTCTATCATGGTATCAGCCATTTCTTGGCGTAAAATCCTATTCTCCTATTCAAGTTTTCCCTCCACTATGGCTACACCAGAGACTTTCACCATTCCCCTTTCCACCATGATTCATATGGTAAATATAAAACTCACTGTTAGAAATATAATATTCTCTCCGTCCCGCAAGAAGGTTGTCATAGCCTTTTTGCGTGTTGATATTTGAATATTAATTATTATATCAATATGAAGTAGAAATCGAAAGAAAAAGACAAAAATACATTTATTAGTCTTTTATAGTACAAAGACAATGATATTTGTCGAGTAAATTATTCAAATATAAGAATATTTTTAATGTTAAGTATAATGACGCAAAAACTAAATGACAATCTTCTTGCGGGAATGAGGGAGTAATAATATTATATTGCAAGAATAAAATTATCGAAATAAATTTGATATTACAATAATTTTATCGAAATAAATTTGATAATCAATTTATCAAAATAATTTTGATAATCACAATTACTTTACCAAAATAAATTCGATGATAAATTTATCGAAATAATTAGATAATCACAATATTTTTTCTTTATCGAAATAAATTCGATAATCACATCAAGTCGAGATAGAACCTCTCTCCGTAAAAATGAATATGCCTCGGTAGTGCCTCCGGTTCGTGGCGCAACGTTTCCAAAGATAAACGACGTTTGTCTTCGAATTAGGTGACACTCCAATATTTCGAAACTCCGACGAATTAAAATGAGGTGAACTAATGCCATGTTGGGAGGCTCAAAAAGAAGGAAAGTCTCCGGATTATTGATCGGAATCTCACCGGAAACAAGAATATATATATTGGAGAGGGGAGGAATTAGGACTGGATTTTTTGGTGTGTTTTTTAAATAAGCTCGACTTGGTCTTTTATAGGCATGCTCATGAAGGGAAATAAAATTTAAAATCATAATGGCACCATCAATTCTATATATCAAACAGATGAATGACTGAGCACGAAATGCATTCTCATTCAAATTGAAATGCAATCAATGCATTCAATTAAATTCATGTAACTGCAATGTGCACAAATCATATTTTATAACGCATGTGTTAAATGCATTTATATTTATACAAAATACATGCATGGCAATAGCATGCAAAGTGCATGCTTGCATCGTACTTCAATTCTATTTTTAACACATTATAATTAATATGTTTAACTTATGATAATGCACATTCATGCAATTATATTAGGGCTATATTTTTATTTTTTTGGGTTTCGAAATTGATAAAAAAATATTTGTCAGCTCTATTATGTTCCGGAGCTCATGGAATATATTAGTCCATTTTTAACAAAACCCAAGTCCAAGCACAAATCCAAAATCATATTATCTGGCTCAGGTGAGCGATGGACACCTATGGCCTATCGACATTCATATGTCTTATAACCATTATATAGTCTATATTCATTTCAATTCACCGAATAATCAGTTTCAAAATTTATGAATTTAATTTATAAATCGATTAAATAAATAACCGATTAACTGATTATCCAACACTCACCTCCTCCAACTATCTCATGTTGCCAGCTCAAATTTAGCCCCTTCTCACTAGTCAACACTTTATGCCCTTGCTCAACGGCTCTTCCACCGCCCCAGAGGCCACTGGAACACGGCAGAAAACGACATCTCAAATCATGCCTTCATCCAAAGGAAGCAACTGGATCAAACCGTCAAACTCTTCTTTATATCCACTCTAACGGAGGAATCCATGGCTATTGTGATCGGCTGCAGAACCTCTAAAGATGTTTGGGATGCCTTATCAAGGGCCTACAGTCACAACTCGAAAGCCCGTGAACTCAGTCTAAAGGACGATTTGCTTTCCCTTAAACGAGGAGATCAATCTGTTTCCGATTATACGTGCCAATTCAAGGCGCTCTTCGATCAACTCACTGCTATTAGGAGACCGGTTGATGAATCGGACAAGTCCCATTGGTTTCTTAGACGTCTCGGTCCCGAGTTCTCAAATTTAACGGTTGCACAGATGTCGCAAGATCCTCTTCCGGATTCTACCAATCTTTTTGCCAAGGCACTAAGTCATGAGTTATTTCAAAAATCTCTTGCCAACACTAATCACTCACGGAATCCTTCGCAGGTTGCCTTCACTTCAACATATCACGTTTGTGGCCGAGGCTTCAAGGGCAATCGTAGTTACGGTTTTTCCTCCCATAAAGCCCGTAGTGGTACCCAAAATTCTTCCTATGGTTATCGGGGTCGTTGCAATTTCACTTCATGGTGTTTTTTCTACAGTGAAATGGACCGCGATGCATTCGATTGCCCAAAATGTTTCAATCGAAACTACGATCGTTCTTGTCGTCCAACCAATGCAACAAACCTTGCAGAAGCCTTTGCTGCCAACTGTAAAATCTCGTATGACACTCTGTGAGATTGGTACTTAGACACAGGTGCATCGGCTCATATGTCTACAGGTCGCTCTCAACTTGATAGTGTTTCCTCCTATACCGGTACTGATCATGTGACTGTCGGTAATGGTGCGACTTTTCAATGTCTCACACTGGTTCTATATCTCTGTCGCATGATCTTACTTTACAAAATGTTCTTGTTGTGCCTGGTCTATCCAAAAATTTACTATTTGTGAGTCAATTGACTCGTAATTATCCGGTCCAAGTTGTCTTTACTGATTCGCAATTTCATATTCAAACTCGGGATACCGGACAAATACTTGCAAGTAGGACTCATAATCGGGGGCTTTATTTGCTGGACTCTTCAAGTCACGCTCTTACCGCGATGATCAATAATACAGGTTTAAGAGCTTCTCTTGAGTTGTGGCATTCTTTGTTTGGGCATGCTGCCCCTACAGTTATTTCTCTGTTAAAAAAACTTGGATTATTGTCTCTTACTACTTTACTTCCTCTACCATCCCTTTGCAAAACATATCAATTAGCTAAGAATCCGCATTTTTACCATTCATTATAAATAATAAATGTGCCGATGATATCTTGGATTTAATTCATTGTGATTTATGAGGTCTGGCACTAGTTGTCGCCAATACTGATTTCTGCTGCTATGCTATTTTTATAGATGATCACAGTCGCTTCTGTTGGTTGTATCCATTGCGAGCAAAGTCAGAATTTGTGGAAGTATTTCTGATGTTTCAAAATTTTGTTGAATATCAAATCTCTAGACAAATAAAGAAATTTCAGAGTGATGGGGGCACAGAATTCACCAACACCCGACTGCGACAACACTTTTTATCATGTGGATTCAACATCTTATGTCTTGTCCATACACTCCTGCACAAAATCGTAGAGCAGAGCAAAAACATCGTCATATCACCGAGATGGGTCTTGCCCTATTTTCTCACTCATCGGTTCCCTTTTCCTATTGGGTTGATGCTTTCAGCACGGCTTTATACATCATAAATCGATTACCTATTGGGGTCCTTTCAAATAAGTCCCCATTTGGTATAATTTTTTGTCGCACTTCTGCCTATGACTGTTTCCATGTATTTGGTTGTCGAATGCACCCGTGTTTACGTGACTACACTAAGACTAAGTTTGAACCTTGGAGTGTGCCATGCGTTTTTCTGTGGTACAACCCAACTCCTAAGGGCTTTCGTTGTCTCAACACATCCTCTGGCCGTGTATATATCACTCGGCATGCCCGGGTTGATGAACACAATTTTCCTTTTGCTCGTTCCAGCGCCTCTAATCTTATTTCGGGCCTCACTCTTTCATAGTTCCTGGATGCATCTGACTCATGCTCTCCTCCGGTACCCTCTTTTGATTCCGTCAAAGCCCCTCATATGTCAACCAACAACTCCCCACCCCCTCCATATGTTATCAACCCTCCTGACGTGTCTATCATGATTCCGAATTTTCTCCTCTACTGCCACCCGAACAAGATGACAACCCACTGCCACCACCTACTCCTATGCGCACTCATCCAATGCAAACCCGTGCTCAATCTGGTATTTTCAAACCTCACTACCCTACTAATATTGCGCTTACTGAGGCCAATCATTTATACTTTGCTCTCATAACTCTTACCGAACCAAAGAACATTAAGATTGCTCTAAAATACCCAGAATGGATTCAAGCTATGGACGAAGAAATGGAGGCTCTCCATTGCAACCAGACATGGGATTTAGTAACTCAGCCCTTGAATACAAACATTTTTGGTTCAAAATGGGTTTATCGCACTAAATTTCTTGCCGACGGTTCACTGGATCGCCATGAAGCTTGTCTTGTCGCTCAGAGTTTCAGCCAAGTTCCTACTTTTGATTCCACCCACACATTCAGTCCTATGGTAAAAGCTTCCACCATTTGCATAATCTTATCTTTCGCCGTTATGCGTTCATGGCCATTACACCAGCTCGATGTTATAAATGATTTTCTAAATGGTTTTCTCGATAAGACGGTCTATATGGAGAAACCTCCTGGTTATGTCGATCATCTTCATCCTACTCATGTTTGCCGTCTTTGAAAGGCATTGTATGGCCTTTATCAAGCTCCTTTACCCTGGTATCAGCGGCTTCACACTTTTCTCCTTCATCTTTGCTTCGTTTGCAGTAAAGCTGACACATCTCTTTTTGTTTTCCGCTAGAAAAATGTTCTTATCTATCTGGTCATCTATGTTTATGATATCATTGTTACCAGCAACAATTCTTCCTCACTCCGTGCTCTAACGACTCGTTTAAGCACATAATTTGCTATTAAAGATCTTGGTCGCCTTGGCTATTTTCTCAGTTTGGAGGTCACCTACCCTTCTTTCGGATTATTTCTTAGCCAATTTAAATATGCTAGAGATATTCTTGTTCGTGCTGGTTTGCTAGACTCAAAGCCTGTCTCTACACCTCTTGCGCCATGAGCTTTCTTCACTTCTACATATTCTGATTTTTTAGATCCTACTCTTTATCGCTCCATTGTCGGTGCCTTAGAGTATTTGACGATCACCCACCCAGATATTTATTATTCCTTCAATACCGTAATTCAGTTCCAACAACGCTCCAATATTGCACATGTTCAAGAAGTGAAACGTATCCTCAGATATGGGAAAGGTACTCTTGGTTATGGTTTATTCTTTTCTAGACAACTCTTCTTGGGTACTCTGACGCCGACTGGGCGTGCTGTTTGGATACTAGGCGTTCCATCTATGGCTATGCTGTTTTTTTGGGACCCAATATATCTTATCTCATGGAGTGCGAAGAAACAACCAACTGTGTCTCGGTCCAGCTGTGAGTCCAAGTGCCGCGCTTTGGCCAACACATCGGCTGAACTTATTTGGGTCTGCAATATTCTTCGTGAACTTCATGCTCAAACATCAGCACCACAGGTTCTCTTATGTAATAATAAGAGTGCTTTCTTTCTTATTCAAAATCCTATCTCCCAAAAGCGTGCAAAGCATATTGATATAGGTTTTCGTTTTGTCAGAGAGCTTATTGAGGCTGGTCGTCTGAAAACTCAATTCATTCCTTCTACTCTTCAGCAGCTTCCAGACATCTTCACTAAGAGCCTCTTAAAATTCGTTGTTTGATTTTTACTTCCTATCCTCTCTAATTACCATGCTTCGCTTGCGGGGTATTAGACATAATTAGTGCCTTTATATTAGACAAAATTAATGCTCTTACATATCTTTACAAATTTATATAATTTTATATTTTCAAAATTGATATATAATTTTATTGTTTTAAACAATAATGTATAATTATATTTTTTCAAATAATATATAATTATATTTTAAAAAAAAATGATGGCTTTCATTGTTCAATTTTTAATTAAATGTATTTAATAAATATAATATTTTCAAGGTTAAACTGTTTTTTAGTCCGGTAATTGAACCTCCTTATTACTTTAATCCCGTAAGTGGAGCCTGTCGCAAACTAGTCCTATAAGTGAAAAAATTTCGCTGTTTTAGTCCTCTGGCGCCGGAGACGCCCGCGTGGCTCGCCGGAGGTGACGTGTCTGCCAGGTCAGCGACACCTGACCGACACGTGGATTTATTTATTTATTTATTTTTAATTTTTTTTAAAACTTATTTTTAATTTTATTTGCATTTTTCTATTTTTTTATTTGGTTCAATTAAAAAAAATTAAAAATGAAAAAAAATAAATAAATCCACGTGTCCGCCAGATGTTGCTGACCTGGCGGACACGTCACCTCCGGCGAGCCACGCGGGCGTCTCCGGCGCCGGAGGACTAAAACAGCGAAAATTTTTCACTTATAAGACTAGTTTACGACATGCTCCACTTACGAAACTAAAATGATAAAGGGATCCAATTACGGGACTTAGAAAAAGAGTTTACCGTATTTTCAATTTGAGTGTTCCTTTTAAAACAAACATAAACATTTTAACATATATTTAAAAATGCATTCAGACTGTGGAGAAACTCTCCCACGTCACTTTTTTAAAAAATATAAAAAAAAAAATGAGATAAAAACACAAACAGCAATTCTGTAACAGCGTAGCTGTTGTTTAGCGTTGTCACGTGCCCCAATTAAACTGGGACGCTTGGCAAAACTTAATATGTTTTTATTAATTTTTTTATGTATTTTTATTAAAATTATATATATTTAAATTTTTATATTATATAAAATTATATTTTTTATAAAATAAAACTAATATTGAATATATATTTTTGTTCAATAAAATTTTAATTAAATATTATCAATTAATAATAATAATAATTTAATTTTGTAATTATTCTACAATTTTTCAATAAATTACAAAAATAATTAAATATATGTAATTATTAAATATGTTATTGAAATCATATAAAATTTTCAAATTTAAACTTTATCAATAAACCAAAAACACAATGTATTTAGTATGAGTACCACAAGTAGCACATATCAAAAAAAATGTATAAATCTAATTCAAGTTACCATAATATCATACCAAAACAACTAAGGTCGTAACTAAAACACTTGTAATAATAAAATATCATGATATCGGAGAAATACCACCATCTGAATCGGGTTCGGACCTATGAATGGATAGTGCTCTCATACGTTGTAATTGCTCCATAATGGTCAAGTTCAAATCGTATATGGCTCGTTGTTGGATCTCCATATTTGTGACACGTTGTTGCATCACTTCCCATTGACTACGTCCCGCGGCAAGATCTGTCCTCAACTCGTACGACCATCGCTGCAGAAGGGATGATGGTCGAGGAGGAACAATCATACCTAATGATCGAAGAATTTTGGAGAGTTTTTAAAATATCTTTTAAGATACAAAAAAAAGATATATGTATAAAATGAATATAGTGTCGTGCGTGTTCGTATAGTAACTCCAAAATTCTTCGTCAAAAATAAAAAATCTCTTTAACCGATGAGTGTCCGGGTCGAACTCAGGGAATATGCGAATATCTTATATTTAATTAGAAAAAGTGCAATGAGTTAATGCAATCGAAGAAACTGAAAAGATAAATTGCAAAAATTAAATCTAATTAAAAAATGATAGAATATATGTATCTCGAAAAGGATGAAGCGAGACGTTTGTGTCTAACTTTTGTGTTCCTTAATGGCTAGATTTCCATGGATAAAATGAGCGGGATGACGATGGCGTTATAGCGAAAATATATGTATAATTGCGGGGTGGCTCGGAGGAATGAACGTGTCGCATTTGCTCGCTTAAGCTGATTATCGACTTGGTTGGTACTCGACCTTAGGGGATTTACAACGAGGCTTCAGCGACACCCGGCGAAGAACATTATAAGCAAGAAACTCTACTGTCACTAGAGATTTCTGTAACTCAATAGACCACCGCCTATGCCCCATGACTTATTCTTCCAACCGTTCCGCTAGTGGCTCTACCCCTTTGATACCTCTATTTAATCGGAATTCAATTCAGAACCGCAACTAAGCAAGTCGACAAGGCTCTCGCGTACTTAGCTACGTTGAACTATCCGGAAT